CAGGTAGCTGTTGGCTAAACAAACGTTTAAAATCAAAACTCCGTAGTTTACTAGAATTAACACTAAACGAATATTTGTGAATTGAAATTTATAATTAAATTAGGCGTCTCGGATTCTTTAACGTTATAAATTTCTGATGATTTCGAATCACCTAAAGCAACAATACCTATTTTTCCACTGACTAATCTTTAATCAACACTATAACTAGTTAAACGTAATAGTTTCAGGATATCGTCATAAAGCATTGTCATAACTTGACAATCACGTAATATGATTGATAAAATTAATGAAACTATTAACAAAATCGGTCAGCAAATTGACTTATAATTATCACTAGTGTTGTTTTTCTTTTATCTTCATTCACTACAGATGATTACAGTATGTTTCTCTATCAGTTGCTCATTCAGTAAATATCTCAAAACCTTGTCAGTCTAATTGATGGTTTAGCGACACAATCATGCATGCAAATAATCAGTATAAGCAGTCGAGCAAATCTCCTGCAAACTGAAAACATCAATGTCGAATTTACCCCAACACTGACTAAGGTTCAAGCCATTATCATAGACATGAGTTGGGAGTGTACTCCCCTGGTTACAACTTATGTTCTCCCTGATAATCACATGAGCATCACTCACTATTAATCATCTTGTAAAAACTTATTTAGCCAAATACATCTTGCAGCACCACATCACTTAGTAATATGACACATAGGCTAACTGATTTCAATAACTTATAACCACTATATCTCAATTAAATCGTATTCCGCCTTATGATAAACTGCATACTTGCAACTAACTTGTATGCCCAATCAGCCGGCAAGTATAAATATAAATAAATAGTCTGCCACAGATCAGAACATTGAGTCTAGAGCATGTCTCTTACGAATACACTCATGTTTAACGATTTGTTCCTAGCTATCTGTCCAAAATTCATATAATTATCACTCACGTATTTAAATTTTGTTTTGATAACCATTCATGTGTATTAGTAGTATTACTAAATTCTATCACGGTCAAGTAAAAATGAGGTTGAGAAAATCTCCCCGTAACTAAATAAACCGTATCAAACTAACTGGAACACTAGTTGGAATTCTTCTCCACGGTATACTTTTGTTCCTTCAGTTAGCCTACTAATACAGATGCAATTGGAACTCAACTCATATGGACAACTTACCGGCATAATCGTTATTTGATTTCATAATTTAAACCAAAACTAATACCAATATTAACATTTCTACAATATTCATCACTTTAATATTTCTAAACACAAAATACTTACTACCTATACGTTAAGTTATTAACCAACGGCTATTAACACGCATCGTTTTATTATTATTATTATTGTAACCCCATTTTTTATAGCTCAAATAATCTTCACCCAAATTTTCATTTCAAGCGTTTTAAGCATGAAGGCAGATATTTTAAAATTATTACATGTATTTCCCGACCAGATGCTGCCGCTTCTTTTTGATTTATCTTTCAGCTTACCAATACCCGGAGGATTCTTATTATCCTTGGTAACCCCCTGCGCGCGACGATCCCATCCAATTTGGTATCGAACCAACATCACGTTGATTCTGGTGGGAGAGTAGTGTAGTGGCATTGGACAATAGCCACACAATCCACAAAGCTGTGAACACGAGACTACTCAGAAAATAGATATTCAATATTTAACGCGGAGAAATACCTAACAATGGAGAAGGCGCGAACAATGAATTGAATGGACTGGAGTTGATCGATGGCATGGCTCGGCCATGCAGGCGTGGTCTCTGCTGAATGTTACCTTATATCTTCTATTCATATTAAATATATTGTTCTTCCTCTAGCCTAACCTTGTTCTACATCATGTATTGGTAATTGATACGATACAGTGAGTTGGTGTAGTCGATGGTGTGACTTCCACGTAAGATCTTATAGATTAGGCAGTTATATCATGACAAATCTACAAATTTAGGACTAGGTCTATTATTAGAGCAGTACTAATATCATAATAGAACATAGTTCTACAAATATGCAAGCCAGTCACAACAACGGGATACATTACAAGGATCTAGATAAGTCCACTCTAATTTCCTCTGTTAATCCTAGTAGGGTGCTTACGGCTTATCAGAAAATCTTGCGCTTTTAGAAAAGCTTATTTCAATTCTCTTTTAAGTCTTCCAATAACCAGTACTAAATCACGTTTAGTTTATAAATGACGTGAAAATGTGAGACTTTGTAACAGCTTAGGTTGGTTGGTTAAGAGTTGACCCCAAACAACCAAGCATATGCCAAAACAGTATTGTTCAAGTATTCGTTCACTTCCTTGTTTTGTATAAGCGTTATATTCCCTATTATCTTATACTGAATGTTGAGAGCCTTTGTTTGTCTGAACAGATAATCCCACGCTCCACTGTGACCGCGCTAAGATCGAAACAAAGACCTATTAACTACTTGTCTGGTTTCTTCTATCAATAGCACGAGGGTTACTTTAAGGCGCGAAATTGGTGAGCCCGACGTGATGTAACATATATGCATTACAAAAGAGTATTTTTTTTGTTTTCATGGTTTTTCGTGCACAAGATATCTACACCATGTCTATTCTCTTCCAGAATACCAATCCGTTCTGGAGACCAAACACTTACATGGAACCGAACAATTATCAATTACATTTATGTATTTCCATTTTGTATCTTGTTATTTTATGCAGGCAGTGGAGCAGTTCTTCAGGTTTGCTTGATTTTCACCATTACCTTTGAAGTAGATTCTTCCTTACTTTTTACTTGAGGGCGACTCAAGAGGCAGGTGAGTAAACACCTGATAGCCGGTCTGAGCACGGAAAAATCGTACCTCACCAACATGGTGTTGGGTAGCCCGCTCGCGGCACTTCCTCAGATATTCTTATTCCACATTCTCACACTTCCTCTTGAAAGCACGCAGCAAACCGTCAGCGATAGTTGTAGAAGAAATCACATGCTACAAAATAAGATAACAAGCTAGTAAAGAAGAGACATCCGTGGACTATCGTTGACAGCGTCAGTCGTCACTGATTGTAAGTCAAACAGTGAGCGAGTTGATAATTTTCACTTGGGATGAGAAACAGAACTAAGGTTTTTTCGATAGTTAGGTTAATCGAACCGACATTCCTACGGAAGTCAATTATAGGGGGAAGCTAATGTAACAGCTTAGGTTGGTTGGTTAAGAGTTGACCCCAAACAACCAAGCATATGCCAAAACAGTATTGTTCAAGTATTCGTTCACTTCCTTGTTTTGTATAAGCGTTATATTCCCTATTATCTTATATTGAATGTTGAGAGCCTTTGTTTGTCTGAACAGATAATCCCACGCTCCACTGTGACCGCGCTAAGATCGAAACAAAGACCTATTAACTACTTGTCTGGTTTCTTCTATCAATAGCACGAGGGTTACTTTAAGGCGCGAAAACTTCATATAAATATTCGTCAACCAGGAGTCTGAAGAGTCCATGCTCGGGCTTCAGAAATAAGCTCCCAAGTGTGATTTGGGGTTGAAGATGCCACAGGTATTCGTAGTTTGACAACGCTCTAACCAATAACACCTAATATAAATCGTACCCATCAAGTGAAATCAAAAGACAGAAGCAGGGAGGTTGGAAGATATATTTGATAGGCTATCAATATATCGAGAATCGTCTGATCTAATCTGGTTAGCGGTTGCAGGGGTTGTTGAGCACGGCGTTCACACTCGTGATCTGGTGCAGATGCATGACCGGGTGCCCTTAGCTAGGTGAGTCCAGTAAAACCAATGTGGTCAGCATCCAATGTCGAAGACTTACAGAGCTATTTGTTTTGGGGATTTATTTTCCGCTACAGGGTCACCAAATTTATGTTGAGCTACTTGACTGACTTACTACCGTATGTAATGTACAGAATCAGGCGATTTTTAGACTCTGAAGAAAAACACTTCTATGTAAGTGTACTTTTGATAAGGAAAAGTAGTCTAGAATTTCTTGTCATATTTCATAGGCTTAACAGTCGATATGTCAAAACGAAGTTAGCATATATATAGATCTTTCGTAAGGACAACAGTACATAAAGACTAAATCAGTTCTTGTGGTGGAAAGATGGAAAAAACATAAAGGAGGACTCATTTACACGTAACATCAATATAATCGAAGGACACCAAACCAGTCAAATCACAAGTCAGGGATGAAGGGGTTCGAAGATATATTTGTAAAGTTACCGATTGTTGGGTAGCGTTTGGTCTATGCTGGCTAGTTGTTGTGAGAGCTGCTTACCAAGGTGTACCCAATCGTAATATGGTGTGAATGAGTGAGTAAGCGTCTTCAAGTAGTTTTCCCAGCAAAACTCATACGGTCAGCTTCAATGTTGATGATTATTGATTTTGGGCAGTGCTGAACTAATTGGTCAAACTAATGTCACTATATGAAGTGTCGAAGAGTTAGGACTAGCCAACACCAACAAAACAAAACGTTCTTCTTCGATCTTGCTTCACCACTTGGTCAATTTAACGTGCACTGCTTGCGGAATTTTATTTAATAACCGATTACATCAACTATTTTAGAGAACATGCTATAGTGTTTAGGAGAGCATGCCAGATCACTATATATCCTAACGTAAAGTTCCATGTTCTGACGAGATTAGAATTCATTCACTTTCTATTGTGTTTTCTTGCCTATGAGGTGTTTAACAAAGCTTGGTGCTTACTAACTACTGCCTATCCATTAACCGGTCGTGTGTTAGCAACAGCAAAACTGGGGAACGTCTTGCATCTACTTCTGATGAAAACAATTGGTTAGGATGAGGACCTTTTGTCACTCTGGACAACGAAGATATATGACTGTTGAAAATCTCTTAAAGTTTATTGTGACCGTAAACTTCAAGTTGGAAGATATAGAAAAAACTAAACATGGTATCATGCAATGAAATATTAGCAGTTCACCTGAGTAAATTAGATTTTGGGCGAAATTGCTAATTTTGTCAGATTAATGAAAACAAAGAAAATTAAGCAAATTAAACATGTCTCAAACCGGTCTTGGCGGGTTTTTCGGAGTTTCCGCCTCAAAATCTTCAAACTAAATTTTCTACGCATGGGGCAATAAGGGATTGTTTTATCGCTTGTGGTTGTAAAAGGGTTATCCCTACGTTTGCAGGAATTTAACAGACTATCGAATAAAGGATAATACTCATCGTCTTTTATGAATTCGGAATTTGTTGGCATCGGTGCTGTTAGGGGCGGAGAGAATGGTCCAACTGTTGTAATGAAAAATCAACTTAGTGAATCCACACGTTGTATACTAAACAGCGCACTTAGTAAGTTTTTTACTTTGGTGTTTTTTGTTCGTAATATTAGTGTCTACTGTCAGATCTTTGTTAAGGACGTTCGCTGTATCTGTGAGCAGACAGTCGCTTATCTCATGAAAATAGTGATTCTACGCATACTAAAACCATACAGAAATGTAAAACCTGACATCTCGGTGACCAATAATCGTGTCGGCTGTCATTGGAAACACTCATTTAGGTCTCTGAAAGGGAAACTAGGTGAAAAACATGATGTATTTCATCGTAGAAATAATCGGATAGGGACTCAGCGAATTTCTTACCTCCAGACAGTCCATTGTGATTTCTAACCCCATCTTAATAGCATTTAGGATTTTCGAGCCAAAGCGTATTGATCGTTTCTTCCCAAGCAACGAATGCTCCATTGCATTAGTTTTTGAAAATTAAGTGGTTTAGTTATAGTTACTAATAGTTTAACTAGTGGTTGCTAGTACTTTTGAGTAGTAAAAGTATAAAGGACTAGGTAGTAACCAATGAGTAATGGTATTTATTTGTTCAGATTTCTCGAGGTGGCGACCTAAAGTCATGGGAAAGGGTAGGTCAAAAAACCAATGCCAAGTCTGCAGATTGAAATGTATAAAGGGTCGCCCAAGTTCTATTTATTTACTGTATGCTCACCATCCAAATATAGTTTAAGTAAGAGGTTGACGCCTAACGAAATTAATAAAACCAATGACCGACCCCGAGCTCCTAATTTTGAGGAAGTCCCCAACGTTTGGGGAAATGGCACACAAACCTCGAAATTTCCCCAAAATGTGCCAAACTTTCCCCAAAATTTGGGTCTCGGGACATTAAAGTGCACAATTTCATTTAGCTGGTTTCATTGGTTCATTGACCAAATGTTTTATTTATTATTTATTTGAATACGTAAATATTGGTACAAGGGAGCACCAGATATATATGCACCACACTAATCAAATATTTACGTTCTGATAGATTTTAAAACATACACTCACTTTTCGTCATTCGATTGTGGAAATATTCTTCAACTTAAGAGCTTCAGTCGACTCAATCTAAAGGTATTCTGATTATCGTATAATAAAAGTGTATATCCACCGACTAGGTGCTCTATTTTCACAGGACTAGTCGGGTTAGAGCTTACAACAAAACTGTGTATGCCAGATTTACTAATTGACTGTCGGGGCTGTCTGGGTTTTCAATGTGTCATAGCTTTGCTCCAAAGTCGCTTCTTGGGGTAAACTTCGGTGAGACTATAATTTATAGATGACCTTTGAGCGACGCTAAAGTAGCCTTTAGAATGTCCATCTACACACTATGGCTAAATGAGAGTTATAAACCTGTGTGAAGAAGGATTTCGATTTACAGTTGGTGGTTAGGGTTAGGAATTAGATTTATGATTTTCATCATAAACTGACATCATCCAAAATGCCAAAACTCTATTTAGCTAAATGGATAAAAAATTTCGCTCCGAAATTCAAAGCCTGTTATCGTAAATCAGATTGGTTCGTCCATAAATTATAGTCTCGCCTCAACTTCATTTCACCATATAGTTTAGCCATCAGTCTGCTTAAAGACTCTTCAACGTGGAGCTCATAGATCGTGACATAAGTTATTATCTTTTTGCATCTTACTTTCCAATGGTTGTGAATTACTGAGTTCATGTTGATTATGTTTAGTACTATCGTCCATAGTAGATCACTACTTTTAGTTTCAGATGGGTGGTCAACTCTTATGTATTTCTTTTGCGATTTCCAGGTGAGCTTGATGATACTCCCGGTGTACCGTCAATGACCAACTGCCCTCAGGAAACCAAGAGAAAAGGCACCAAATTATTATCCAAGCATCAGAACGTTAGCAAGACAGATGAATTGTCTACCCGTCCTCAACCTCCATGTTCTGTTCGATTGATCGACGAAGAAGAACGTGTTCTAGTTAGTGAATTTCTCATATCAAAGATTTACTGTATCATAAAACTAGTCACTCATTCTTTTTCGGCTTCAAGCTATGTGAAGGTTTCATAAGGTTTATAAATAGTATATCCTCTAGTCTGTCCATTGATTCGTTCGAATTTACTGGGGCAAATTATAGTTGGAGCGTTTTGTTTGCTTTGGCTGTTGTGTATGACTTTTAATCGTATTCTTCATCGCGTATTTTTACGAGTAATCTCACTTTTCTTTGATAGATTTGATTGTGCATGCGAGCTATACCCTCTGCAGCCTCATGATTCATAGATTTTATGTGTGCGTTAAACACCGTGTTAGTGGAGAAACTGAATGTATGTTTAAGCTAGGAAATGTTTTGATTAGTTACTAGTCATTCGGCTAGTGGAATAAACTGAAATGAAGGATGATTCTAATTATACTGTTACTTTATCACGGAGGGTTGAATTGGTCTAATCATTAGCGAATAATAGTGTGTACAGGTTTACATACTACATGCTAAATGCTCTAACTAATAAATTACTCTCTGAGCAGTTCTGTTATATGGTTTGCAGCCAGGGTTTAAAGTCACATGCTCATGATTAACAATTGTTTGCACAACGACATCTAATTATCCATATGTCAACCTAAATGCACAAAAGAAACAGGATGCTTTTAGTCTAAACAGCATTAATATTGTGTGTTCAATACGGCAATTCAGATAGTTATGCGCAACTTAGGACCTGGGACATATGTAGATTAGCTCAGGTCGCCACATCACATTATCACAGCGCGATAAAATTACCAAGACAAATCTCAGATTAGTGGTAGTAACAACATCAGAAGTAGTGGGAACGACTTTTCACAGAACCAAGAAACAGTAGTTTTCGGAATTAACTGAATTTAAAAAGTAAATAAACCTGAAGCATTCCAAACAGTTATGGACCATGTCACCAAACGTCTAAGTATTGGCCACGACAATCGCGTAGACCACAACCAGGTAGTCTGGACCTACCTTAATGGCTCATTCCAACAATCGCTGACTTTAGAAACTGGCGCCACACCTTAGTTTGACCGCCTCCAACTTTCTCTTACACCCAACTTCATCGTACGTCGAGGTAGACGGTGGTTAGGCATACGTAATACCTGTCTACCTCACTTGGGAAGGACGCATTACCTCAACCGATTTGTTATCTTTACTTGAAATCCTACTTCTGACCTCAACATAGTTATTCAGTGGTCCAAAAATCCTCGATCAATATCTCAAGGACACCTAGAATCAGATAATAACAATCTACGAATGTCATCTATTCCTAATAAGCACACAAATTAGAATAGAGAGCTGCTTCACGGCAAACTCATCTTTTGGTTGGCAGATGGATATCTCACCTACTCCATAGGTGACGCGAATTGGGAAAGCTAACCAGACTTTCTGAGGCCCTGCCAAGGATTCCATCAGAGGCCTGTCCACCTGGGCTTGTGGAGCATTCAAAATAAGTAAAGTGGTCAACTTCATCCACTTTACTATCATTAGTTTAGGTGTTGACTCAGACCAATTCTGAAGCGCTTTATGTATATATTCTCGGAAATAAATTGTAAACACAACTGAGGAACATTAAAGGTTCCTATTACTGAAGTAAACAAAGTGAAAATCAGTCCTGAACAAATGAAATTCAAGTCTTTTTGAGACCCGTTAGGTAGTCTAGTCCCGTTTTATTTTGTTTTTGACCTTTTTGTAGTGAAATATGACCATGGTAATTCGCGTTATTACAGCGTCATGTTTTTGCTTGATGACACTCATAAACTTACACTGTTCTAATTACCCAAGATATATATCGCTTTGATGTCGACTTAAAGTGAAACATACTGATTTGATAGATTTTGTATTTCATTGACATTTCTTTGCGTGTTGTGTTCACCCACCCATATAATTCAAAAATTCATCAATATTCTCAATCAATTGCTCCATTAAATGAGGTTAAACAATGCTAGTGATTCCCTTGGACCAGTTGCTATCTAATCATATTATTTTACCTCATTGTATATTTATTTGTTCTCCTGCTAAATGTAACTAAAAAAAACAGAAACGACCCGTTTCAAACAGTTATTCAAAGCTCAGGACATTTTCTCTGAATCACTAACAGCATTTTTAGATTTCAACAGCTTAAAAATCCCCGTAGAATATTCAAAAATAAAGGATATTTGGGCGGACAATTGTTTCCAATAACTTAATTATCAAGCTCTACAGTTTCAGGTCTATAATTATTGTGATATTTTATTAAGGCCAGAATAGCGCATGCATTAATGAATTTGACAATGTTTTGCGTTAAAAATATTGGGCTCTTTCATCTTTTACGATATAAATACTTCAAGATAGTGTCATTATCTTATGTAGACGACAGAAGGGTTATCATTACCATTATTACTTATGTTCTCATGTTATCATACCCTTTTATAATTCTTCATAAATATTTTTGCTCAGCTATTTCGTTACACACATTTGTGGTTTGCATACTATCTATGAACAGCTAAAGCTCAGGTCACTTTATATGAGAAGAAAAATTAGCACTACAATTTTACCTTATTTGTTTAGAATTCTGTTGCATACTGACTTCATATTAGTTAGTCTTTAGGTAAGAGTCATAATGTAAAGTTTAGCTGTCATCCTCATAGCTTACAATTGTATATAATCGTTAGGTTATTGTCGATCAAACTATATTTGCATTAAACTTAACACAATTAAATTTTCTTTAATGTTATCCGTTATTTTACAATCATAAGTTAATCCGACTGGCGATAAATTTGTACCATTGGAACGTAACACTTCTTAGTGAAGCATTTATCTTATTATTCCTAGTATGAGTGTGTTTACATAAATGCACATTTCGAATTGCCTTAAATAAATGGTAGGTACGTGATTTATCACATTTATTACCAACTATCTAAATGATGATTATTATTATTATTATGTTTATAGTTAGGTGAAATTTCTTATTTAATGTCATGTGAATTATTTGAAATATTGATTTAATATAATTAGGTTGGTTCCTAACTTTATGATTCGGTAATTTTTTCAAAAAGGCATTTTTTGTATTTAAGGAAACAACAGCTGTGTGGCTCATGGGTATTTCGACAGTGTTACATATTTTCAGAGGTGGCATATTGTACCATTCCTATTCGGTTTTATGTTTACTTTTACTGTTCAAAATCCCTTGACCACACTGAGTATTAGTCAAGACTACTTGTAATCCTTAGTGTTCTATAATTGAGTGATGTATTTCTCCATCTACCCTTTGTGCAGAGTTTTCATATTCAACAAAAAATGAGAAACTTTGCCTCTTGATTATAACATTTTCTCCAATTACATTTCACCACACAATTTTGATAAACAGTAAGTTCACAGATTCATTTTATAGCTTGGTTTGGCCACTTCATTGTTTTACTCATTGGTCCTACTAAAACTGGTAAACACATGATAATGTTGGATTGAGATTTAACACATTTAAACTATTTTCCTCGGTAAAAATGAATATACAACCTTAAAATTACTAACTCAGTGGTTCCATCTCAGACGAGTGTTGTTTTAAAGCATCAATAAAACTAAATAAATTCGCAATAAATATTTTTCTAGAACCTTATTTGGCAATTATCTTATTGTAAATTTGGTTCAATCATTTGATATCTCAATTAAGAAGATGAATCATTGAAAAAAACTGGTGTATGGAAGGTCACCTAAATTAGTAGGTTTTTGATACTTGGTTAAAAAAATAGTAAAATAGACACTTGTAATGATCAGTACTTATCACGATGACATTAGATAAAAACTTTCTTTGAGTCTTAATGATGAATACTTAAGCAGAATATATTTTGTCTCTCTGACGCGGCTGTAATTGTCATCACCTAAGTAGTCGTATTTTAATTCAAGGTCATAGAATATAGGTGGCCTATTTTTGGAATTTGGCACTTGATGATCAATACGGTTTTGATTGTAACTCGAGTCTGTTTGGATACCTTATGTTCGTTGCTTCAGTGCCTCACCCTAGACATTAAATAGTGTTTGTATCTCACCACTAGTGAGTTCTTTGAACTCATTTGGGACTAAATCAACTGGTTTGGAAAGTTTTTAAAGCTTATTTATAGTTAATCTTTTGAAGGGATTCGTTTTGTGACCCAGTCATGTGAAATTGTGTACAGTAAATGTTATTTCAGCTTTTTACCCTTTTGTTGTCAAATCCTGTCATTCCAGTTTGAAGATGCAGACGTTTTGGCTTGGCATTTGGGTTGCCCTGCAGATAGAACAGTAAAACTTATCGCTATTGTTGGAAATACAGGTGATGGGAAGTCACATACTCTAAATCAAGCGTTTTGCGGCGGTGCAGATGTATTTGTCACCTCGCCCTCGCAAGCCACGTGTACAATTGGAATATGGGCCGCCTATCTACCTAAGGAGGGCTATCTTCTCATAGATACTGAAGGTGGGCTACCGATTTTTTTCTTTTTCGTAATATAAAAAAATTGAATTTATTTATCATTTTTAAATGAAAATAGCAGACATTATGGCGATCTACAATGTTTCTTATGCATATTTATTTTGTAAAGCATAATCTTTTTAGCCTGTAATTTTTAAAGTAACCACGTGATTTCTTCCAATTGTTTTTCTCTGTGCAATATGAACACAAAAGTATGTGTAACAGTGGTTTAGTGTGTTTTATTCTATATAACTCAGGAAATTAGATTTTCACAGCTGAAAGTGAATAATAGCTGTAATCAATCCTCTCGAACAATCGAAAGAAAGGAAGAGTTTTGTTTAAAGTAGTGACCTTTGTGTTTTTGTGTTTCTTGATCTAAACGGTTTAGCGCTACTTGTTATTACTAATCTGTCTAAAATATCTAGCTCATGCCTCAGAAACAAACAGCTTTACTTGTTTTTCCACATTTGACAACTACCCATTTCACATAACATGGGATGTTATTGCATGTTTCGTGAGCTGTCGTGGCTAGTCGACTTTTGATCTTGCGACAATTAAAGTGATTGTGTGTTTTGGTTGATTGGCTAGTTCCTTAGGACCATGTATAGATTTTTTCATACAGACGACCTGTTTACTTATAAGAGGGCAATTATAATGTTCAGGAGTCTTCCGTGATTACAGGTTTGATGGTAGAAGACATGCAAAAGTCGCTAGTATTTGATCATTGGTATGTAAATACTGACGTGGTTGGAACTTGTATTACACACCATTCCACCGTCTACTCCAACACCCTATGCTGGCTACTGTAAGTCTAAGCTGAAAACAGGCTTGGATTGCTTAATAGATACATAGCATAGTTCTATGGACCCGTTCACCGTTGGTCTAAGCTATTATGAAAAACAAAGATCTAGTTACAATCAAAAAGGTTATCGTAATCTGTAGTGTAGAGACCTCAGGTCATCTAATCCAAACTAACCACGATAGTTCAAATATATGTTTTTACTTTTCTAGAGTTTCGGGATTCAACATTACTCCGTAGTTTATATTCCTCGATCTGATCAGTTTCATTTCAATTATGTTATTTTCGTTTAATTTTAATGTTTTATATGAAACAATATTACCTGTTGATAAATATGGTATGGAGAAAGCTACCAAATAAGTAACATTATATAGGAAAAATAGACATCATAATGGCAACACTTCTTCAACAGTTTCTATTAGATAGATAGGTAAATCACGTGTACGTTAAAAGCTTTTCTTTGGGAAATTTTGTTGGGTTGTTTTAAAGTTTAGTTTTCTTAATGGTGTAAGTTTTCAACATAATATTGTAAATACCCTTGTGTCTCTTGCTTCTATCCTATCATAAATCTCAGTCGCTTTATTGGTATCGATTTGTCTATCGACAGTTTTCGACTGTTGTAGAACGTCCGATAAACAGATAGATAAAGTAATGTATATCCATCTTATTTTAATTATGATACTCTTTTGAACTGAATATTTTTGATATGTTTAGAACGTAGTTCTGATGCTTTTAAATTGGTGAAAGTCACGTCACTTTCGATTAATAAGATGTCAGTCATTTCCGAAATGTTTTACTGTCTTATAAAAGGGTTTTTTTCTGGCTTACATATTGATTATTACTCATTTTATTGTTAAATATGAATTATTTTATTTTGAGTATAGTTTCGTACCTCACATACACTGGTCATTAGTCCTGTGATTTGGTCGATTGTATATAATGATACCTTTTTCAATTATTTCAAATATAGGTTTACTTGGTGCTAGCCCTAATCCTAATCGGCAAAGACGTTTATTGTTGAAGGTTTTTGCATTAGCTGATGTTGTCATCTATCGTACTATGTCTGATCGTCTTCATAGTGATATGTTCACTTTCCTTGCGGATGCAAGCGATGCTTTTTCAGAACATTTCCGCCCAGATTTAGAAGCACTAGCTGAACGTACTGGTTTACCATGGACACCTGGTCAGCTAGGCCCGGTTGTTGTTATATTTCAAGAGACGCAACATACCCTCCCACTTGATGAACCTCATAGCATAGCTTCAGTGAACAATAATACATGCACTGATCGTTTGGGGTCTGCGGAACCATCTAATGAAAGAATGTCAACTTTAAGTAAGTTCCGAATTTTAGTTTTCCTGTGCATATCTAATACCTGGTAGTCGAGTTTCTGTATCGTTTGCAGTGTCACCGTGTTAAAGTAAAGTTAGTGTTGGTAGATATCCCACTTTGAAACTTTATAGTTCAGGGTCCTTGAGTAGTATCACAACTCTCAAATTATTCATGATAATTGATATTGATGACAATCAACTGTCCGTTTTATCGACTAACGCCCACAGATTGCAGCGATTTATTTTATAGGACTTTATATCTCTTCGCATTTCCGTGATTTGTATTCTTTCTTGATCTATTGGGAATATTTGACTCAACTAACAGTTTGTTTATGTCAAAAGTATCGTCCTAGTTGGATAACTTTAATTCACTAAATAGTTACCTTCTGATATCTGTCATTGATCACGGGGTCTAATGTATCTGTTCCAAGATCATACATGCCCTTGAAACTTTTCAGCTTTAGTTTCCTCTTCTTGACTCAGTTTAATAACAAGTCAAACAGTCAAACGGCTAACATTATTATTATTATTATTATTATTATTATTATTATTATTATTATTATTATTATTATTTACTACGTCATTTATTCACTCTCTTTTATTCTCACTTTATGTATCCTTATTTTTCGACTAATACAGCAGCTCGCCTATGGTGGAAACTCGGTTGTATCTAAACGTTCTCGAGTTGCTGCCTGGTTGAAAATTGTATGCTACCAACAAATACGAATACTGAAGGAGTTTTTCTGAAACCACATGCATCATTCAAACTGTCTGCCTTCAAAGTTCGCGCACTTACGCAAGTCGGACAACAGATAGGGCTAGCTATGTCTTTGGAAAGTCTTAATATCAACGTTTGTTGTCTATCCGAGACCCGTATTCAAGAGTCTGGTGATGTACTACAAATTCACTCTCCATCTGTCGCTCCAAAAAGCTTGTTTTACGTGCGTTTATCCGGGGACCCTGTGGCATCTTCATCTGGTCTTACTGGCGTTGGTGTCGCACTAAGCGCTAGAGCTGAGGTAGCACTAATCGATTGGATCTCCATTAACAGTCGGTTATGTGCTGTTAGATTAGGAAGTTCCATCAAAATGAGCAGAAATCGGTGTGAGAAACGATGTCTTTTCGTCATTTCCGCCTATGCCCTGACAGATTGCAGCCCGGATGCAATCAAGGATGAGTTTTACCACCAGTTATCTGTTCTTCTCCAGAAAGTGCGTTCGACAGATATTGTAGTACTAGCCGGAGACTTGGATGCTCAGGTCGGGCGTCTAGGCACAGAAGAGAGTCGTTTAGGTGGCCGATGGGGACTTGTTGGTCGCAGGACAGATAACGGGGACGGGGACCGTCTACTGCAACTGTGCACAGACCACAACCTGTTCCCGGCTAGCACTAACTTTCGGCACAGTCATCGCCGATGTATCACCTGGCATCCTGCCTCTACATCTCAAAGCTGGACCCAGATTGATCACATCGCGATCAGCTACCGCTGACGTGGTTGTGTACAAGACTGCCGCTGCTTTTGGAGTACCTATCTGCGCTCTGATCTGTGCCAGTCTTACCTTACTTTTCAGTGGAAAACGAAGTGACCGCCACCAAAGGATTGGTATCAGCAGGTTGGCTGCAACTGAGTATCGAACCGAACTAGTTTCTAAGCTAGCTACCATTTTATCGGAAAATATGGATGCGCATTGGTTGCAAGTGCATAGCGCCATGAAAATGGCGGGTACAGTCAGTTGTGGGTTCGCGAAACGTCCCGCTTATAAGCACTGGGTTTCTGCAGGTTCCTTACAACTCATTAAAGCCCGTCGGTCTACTCCGGGTGACCGTGAGTTTGACCATAAACGAAGGATGTTACGTAAGGAAATTGGGCAAAGCTTGCGTAAGGACCGAGAAGCCTGGTGGTCGAGGCGTGCTAATGAGCTGGAAGCAGCAGCTGCATCTGGTAATTACCGGAAGCTCTTCCAACTAATCCGAGCCACTGGCAGCAAGAAGTCTGGTGTGAGCGAAACAATCTACGAGGATGATGGGATGCCAATCACTAACATCGATCGACGTCTTGAACGATGGGCAGAATTTCTCGAAGGGCAGTTCAATCGGCCTGCTGCTCCGGCAACATCGGTCAGACTATCTTGCCCTCCATGGCCGGTGACGACTGATCCACCAAATGAGGCGGAAGTCCGCAAGGAACTCCAACTCTTGAAGCATTACAAATCACCTGGCCCAGATGACTTACCTCCGGCTCTTTTTAAAGATGGTGGTGACTTTTTGACTAAGGAATTGACGACGTTGTTTACAAAGGTTTGGGAACTAGAGAGTGTACCAACGTCATGGAATGAGTCGATAGTTGTCCCTATCTTTAAAAAGGGTTCACGTCGTTCCTGTACCAACTATCGGGGGATAAGTCTACTTCCGATTGCGTCCAAGCTATTGGCTTCCGTAATACTTCGTAGGTTGTTCAAAACCCGAGAAAGATTGACTCGCGAGACCAACAATCGTAGTGTTTCTTGACATCAGGGTTGTCTTCGACTCGTTGGATAGGACTGTTCTCTGGAATTGTCTATTGAAGAAGCATGTGCCTGAGAAGTTCATTAACATCTTAAATGCCCTATATACAAACACCACAGGTAGAGTGAGGGCATACAACCACCTTTCTCCATTGTTCCACTCAAGCATTGGGGTTAGACAGGGTCGCCTAATCTCACCATTCCTCTTCACCTTTGTCATCGATGACATTCTGGAAACAGCTCTGATGGATGTAAGTAATGGTGATGTAGATCTGTTGCCTGGAGAAAGACTTCTCGACCTTGGCTTTGCGGATGGTATTGTCTTACTGTGCAATAATGCCCAAGCCATGCAATGCGCACTTAATCAGTCAGCAATCAATGTCCGTAGGTACAGTATGTGCTTTGCACCTTCGTAGTGCAAAGTACTTTTACAAGACTGACAGGATTCTAATCCTGTACTCACCCTGGATGGTGAGCAGATAGAAGTAATCGAGAAATTCGTGTATCTAGGTTGCTGCATAAGTGCTGGTGGTGGCGTGAGTGGTGAGATCAATGCACGTATAGTGAAGGCCAGAGCGGCTTATGCCAATCTGGGCCATCATTGGCGCCTTCGTGATGTCAGTCTGGCTGTAAAAACGTCGGATCTACAACGCGTCGGTGAGAGCAGTTTTGCTCTATGCTTGTCAAACTTCATTGTTCTTTCGAGTCCACACCAATCATTCTTTGTTCTCGTTCTCTTTTTGATCTTCTCAACCTTCTGCCGCCAGACACTTCACTTTCGATTGTGATACATACTACTTATGTCTGTCGACATCAGTAGCACACACCACACTAACCAGTTTAATTCTCACTAACAATTACTTGTGTTACTGAAATTGAAGATTAGTAAACAATAAATAAGGCAATATCTTTTTGCTACTTTTACCCGCGCTACAGTAGTTCACATCACCATTGCAATTAAAAAACTCGTCCATTCTACTTTGTGTACTCAAAAAGTCACTCTCAATGGACATTTTGTAATTACAAAGGACTAGAATGGTCGTATGGAGTGTCCTTCGATACATGGGTCATTTCAGCGACCATTAGGGACTTGTTGGTTAGAGGTCAGATAACTATTATTCCGTTTTTAGAGTTTTACATGCCGAATTCAGAAACAATCGTCACTACTGTTTTGCGAAGCGCTCTCCATCTTTTTTCATCGATCACTGCATTTGGTTGGCGTTCTCACTGGTATGCTTTTCTGTAAGCATACATTATTCGCTTCCAATCTGATTATGCGTTTTAAATGTTAACAGGTGAATGGCTCTTAAGGACAGGTGTAGTATTCTGGTCGGGTAGCTATTTGAATTGTCTGAAAATTGAAATTGGTTCATCACAATGGAATAAATTTATTTCCACATCCATCCTCAGGAAATCCCATCGTAATGTACAGGTTGGAGGTATAATGTTTGCTGCTAGTCTGTAAAATCTTCATTGATTATTCACTGATTTCATCATGAAACACCGGTCTGGTTGTCAGGATTTGAATGACCCTTTCTAAAGCTTTATTGTTAAGCTGTCATCCTAATAAAATTGGATTAATAAGTGCTTCATAAGTACTTGTTCTATTTCCTCATAATATCTTCAGTTCTGTGAAATAAATGAGTTGTTAATGATATTCTGTCGTGTACAAATTTCAGCAAGCTGGTGTAGTAAATTTTTGTATTTTGATACTTATATTTTGCATAAATTTATAGTTCAGTGTTATCGGTTATCTCAGTTTTGCAGAAAACTAGACACTTGGATTTTTTAATTACAATCTCTTAATTATAATCTTATTAGAGCTATCTTAGTATGTTGGTGGTAGATGACATATTTGTGAGTTATCGAAATTTCTCGCTTAATTATACTGTCATAATAATTCAACCTTATTATTTTAGTACAGATTTTGAGGTTCTTATTGGTTGTAGATATTGTTCTTTGTGATGTACTTATTTTCAAAACATGTATTTATTATCGTCTTTACGATTATCATTTTATGGAAACATAAAATAGGTTCAAGGTTTCTGACAGAACGCCTTGTGGCAATGAGACGCAACGCGAATGCATTTTCTTCACTTGTGTATGTTGGAACACAAACTAAAGTACCTCCAACAAATTTCCAGGTAAGAGTTCATAATAACCATAATCTTTTTATTATCATAATTAATTGTATTGTTAAGCGGCTACGTAATGATCAGAGTACTCAGCTCTCTGATCAGTCATAGTTTTCGATTCCGTTACACGTATATGGGTTTTTTCGTCCAGCTAGCATTAATAACACTGAAAACCCATGAAAAGTTTTGTTGAAAGCTGAGTACATAAATATATACTTAGTTAGCTAGTCATATTGGTTAGGACAATTTGGATACTCTAAACATTGTTTCCATGACCTACGTTTGTTATTTTAACTGCAGAAGCTCGTAATTAGAGTGGATAAATTTTTGTTATCATTGTATACAGTGTAAAGAATTTTTAGTTGGCATAAAAATGACCTACCTAGCTTAACGAATAAAGAAGATGAGAAAACAACAAAATGACTTAAATGTACTTGAAGCTCTGTGTTCTTCAGATTAATCGCTACACTGATTCATTTCTCCCTTGTCATGTTAAGAATCATAGGTAATCAGAAAGATGTATAGTAAAGTGGATATCTTAACAGTGAAGCATTAACTATATTCATTATTTAGAATACAGAAAATATAATAACTGTTCTTTAGGCTTTACAAGATGATAAGAGAAAAGTTATCTATCCAAGAACATATAATACTCAAATTGGCTCAATAACGTTTTGATCTTGATTGTCTTTTTATAACAAAGCTGGGTGGTAGTTTTGTGATCTTAATATTTTAGAAGGAATCCAATATATCAGGTTCAAATTTGTATAAATTCCTGTTATAAATTGTACATTTTGGTTGTTCTCATTAATGGTATCATAGTACTATTCTAAACAACATTTAACAGTAATTCAACAGGCTATTATATATATAACAATCAATGTTATGTTTTCTAGTCTTGATACATTTTAGTGATCCATTTTGAAGTATGATCATAGAGCTGACTATAGTTGATTATGTTTCCGGAGAGTAAAATTTGGTTGTATGTATTAGGCTTTTTGACGTAACTCTATATCATATATGGAGTATGAAGAATACCATTCTTTCAGGGATTCAAACATGTATCATTTAACATCATACGCCTATAAGCTATCATTGGGATATAATATCAGTGATTGACACCCTTATATATTCTGAACTGCAGATGTATCTTTTTGCTGAGCACTAATAAATACGAAGTAATCCAACGTGATAAAATTCCTTAAAAGAGCACAATTAATGCTCATATGAGCAGTTCAGCTGGCCTTCAGGTACTCTGCAACTGCCCACCATTCCCAGACAACCTGAATAGAACATTGAAGTAGGTCCCCCGACTCTAACCGAAGTTCAAAAGGCTATAGCTAGTCTGAAACGAGGAAGAGCAACTGGTCCAGATGGATTGACTCCAGAGGTCCTTAAGGATGGTGGTCCAGTTTTAGCGATTAGATTGACTAATATTTTAGCTAAAATCTGGGAGTTGGACGTTATCCCATCTGACTGGTTGCAATCACTGATTGCCCCAATATATAAGAAGGAGTCACAATTATCCTGTAATAACCATAGAGGGATTAATCTGACTAACATAGCATCTAAAATACTGACCTCAATAATTATCGGGCACCTAACAAAGACTCATGAACTGCAAACACATGAAAATAAGGCTGGCTTCAGACCTGGTCGTGGCTGCATCGACCACATATTCACTATTCGTCAGGTTTTAGAACACAGGCGTGCTTATCGGCGTCCGACAATGATAGTTTTTCTTTACTTAAAAACAGCATTTGACTGTGGACTGAGAAGTTCTGTGGCAGTATCTATTATTGAAAGGCTTACCTCACAAGTACATAAACCTTGTGAAGGCTCTTTACTCGAACACTACCAGTTGAGTCAGAGCTTATGGCGAGCTGTCATTTGATTTCGCAACCTCTAGTGGTGTCCGACATGGCTGTCAAATATCACCATTTTTGTTTAATTCCATCATAACCCAACTGCTGGAAATAACGTTATTGTCGACTGAATTTTCGGGCGTTGATCTCCTACCAGGAGGTCCACTTATCGACTTAGAATACTCAAATGATATAGTCCTGTTTGGCGAAGACGATGATAAAATGCAGATTCTTTTGGTAGCACTGAGCAACAATGCCAGGATATTCGGGATGCGTTTCTCCCCCTCTAAACGCAAATTATTGCTTCAGGACTGGCTTGCGTCAACACCTGAATTAAGGATAGGGAGTTAAGTAGTCGAATGCGTCGCCAACTTCACTTATCTTGGAAGTTTGATCAGCCCTAATGGGTTGGTGTCTGACGAAATCTCTGCACGAATTCAGAAAGCTCGCTTGGCTTTGGCCAATTTACGTCACCTATGGCGAAGGCCAGATATCCGTCTATCAATTAAGGGACGAGTATACTGTTCAGTAGTTAGTTCTGTTCTACTTTGCGGCTGCGAAACGTGACCATTAAGAGTAGAAGATACTCGTAAGTTACTAGTATTTGATCACAGATGTCTTGGAAATATTGCTCACATCTGCTGGGGTCATCGGGTAAGTAATAGTGAGGTTATGAAATGATGGTAAATCAGTTGATGAGGTTGTAAATCTCAATCGACTGAGATGGTTGGGCCACGTTTTACGTATGCCTGAACACCGATTAGCACGACGCACAAAGCTGACTGGTGTTGGGGATGGTTGGAAGAAAGTTAAGGACAGCCGAACCAAAACGTGGCATCAGCTCTCGAAGTCACTAACTTCTCTCAGCCATGTTGGTAGATGCAAACTACTTAGTTGGGGTCCTCGTGACTATCGTAACCAATGGTTGGAGACTCTGTGTGACAGGGCTCAGAATCGATCATAATGGCGTAGGTGTATACCCTCTCTGTCTTCCCTTAAACTGTGAGATTAAAATTGCTTCATATCTTTCTTTCTACGAACCAGTTCTTTTTTCCTGTACTATATCCTTATATGCAATCTTTCTTTTATATATTACCATCATTGAAGTAATTACTTCTATGAATTTTGGTGTTTATCTTGTTGTGCTAATGAGGTTTGGCAACTTGGACCGATGTATATATGTGCCTGATCCTACGTTGTAGTTGACTGACACATGGTGCTCTAAAAGTGTTACTATGCAGAACACTAAACATAAAATGTGACTGATTTATTCTTGTGAAGTCTGTAAAAATAATATTATTTAAACCATTTTCGTAATTTTTTATAACTAACATAATAAATATTCATGACATTTTAAGTTTATTCTTTGTTTTGTTTAAGTTACTTCATTCACGTGACTGAGAAACGTTTCACGTGTTCTTTAGTAGTAGGTAGTGTATAAAAATTTCTGTCCCAAAAATTTATGCTTTGTGCTTATAAATCGTCATGTATGATTAACAGGTGATATCTGCAGATATAGAAAATAACTCAATCTATATGATGAGTACAACGGCATTATGACTCAGGACGGAAGTATTTACTATATTTTGGGTTATACAAGGCAATCACTATCAAGAGGTCACTCAAAGTATAAACTCGATGTTTTGCGTCCGAGAGTTATTTCGGGGTTGGCATTACCGTGTGTATTAAGCTTCAGTAACTGTTATGTTCTATGATCTGCCAGATATCACGTGACAAGACTTTCAACCAGAGTATCGACTTCTATGACCTCGTTCCTGTGCTAAACCAATTATGCGTTAACCGGCGCGAGCAGCCTTGATTCTACTCTGAGTCCTTATTGGTACTCTGTATAGCAACCTCTCGCCTAGCCCGACCTGCTCAGTCCAGAACACAAATATCAGTCTTCGCTGTATGAATCGTATCTTTCAGACATACTTGGTCTATACACAAGCAGACTAGACCGCGTCACACCATTAAACGAAAAATAGTTATACAAGACCAAGTCAAAATTGGCTGTGAGTATGGTCTACTGCGACTAATAAATTATGAATAAGTTAGGAATGGTAAATCGTATAGCAGTAGACAATAGGGTCAGATGAAAGCTTGTAATAAAAGCTAGTTACTTAATAATTATCCAACAAGAATATATGTAATAATAGTCTATTGATAATTTCTAGCAGTTATCATTCATTTATTCTTCGTTAGGATATAACAATAACATTTTCTTATCGCTGTTGTGATTTACATTATTCTTACACTGCATTATAGAGTTTTCTTTTGGTTTTGATCTCTTTTGTTACCGTTGATAGATGAAATATTTTGGATTATCATAGCGGTATGAAATGCTCTTAGATAATTAGACTGATAGTAGTTATAGTCGTATGAATAGTAACAAATTAATTTTGTTAGTCGAAACGGCATTTTCATAACCTGTACTGTCAAGCAAGTTACTTGTTGAAATGCACTCGTGCCTCAGCAAATAAACACAATGAATCAACGTTTTTTAAGTCCCCGTAGAGTATTCACTCAACAAGCGATATAATATATCGTAAGTATAGGGTTGTGGAGATTGTTGATTTTCATTTAAGTTCTAAACTGATCAGTGTTAAACCACCATTGATCCGTCTGTTGTTTCGATGAGGCATCATTTAGTTATGACTGAAAATATAATTTCATTGTATACTTACTTACTTACTTACGCCTGTTACTCCTCGTGAAGGAGCATAGGCCACTCACCAGCATTCTCCATCCAACCCTGTCCTGGGCAATCCTTTCCAGCTCCGTCCAGTTGTAATTCATCCTTTTCATATCTGCTTCTATTATCCGACGCAATGTGTTCTTTGGCCTTCCTCTTTTTCGCTTCCCTTCAGGATTCCAAGTTAGGGCTTGCCTCGTGATGCAGTTTGACGATTTGCGTAATGTATGTCCTATCCATTTCCATCGTCTTTTCCTAATTTCTTCTTCAGCTGGAAGTTGGTTTGTTCTCTCCCACAGAAGGCTATTGCTGATGGTATCCGGCCAATGGATGTTGAGTATCTTGCGTAGACAGCTATTTATAAATACTTGTACTTTCTTGATTGTGGTTGTTGTAGTTCTCCAAGTTTCAGCTCCATACAGTAGAACTGCCTTGACGTTCGTATTGAAGATTCTCACTTTGATATTGGTTGAAAGTTGTTTTGAGTTCCATATGTTCTTCAATTGTAGGAATGCGACCCTTGCTTTGCCGATCCTCGCCTTTACGTCTGCATCTGAACCTCCTTGTTCATCGATGATGCTTCCCAGGTATGTGAAGGACTCTACATCTTCCAGAGTTTCGCCATCAAGAGTGATTGGATTGCTGTTCTCCGCCTTGAATTTGAGGACCTTGGTTTTCCCTTTGTGTATGCTGAGGCCTACTGATGCAGAGACTGCTGCTACACTGGCTGTCTTCATCTGCATCTGTTCGTGTGTACGTGATAGGAGGGCTAGGTCGTCTGCGAAGTCCAAATCGTCTAATTGATTCTGAGCTGTCCATTGTATTCCGTGTTTTCCTTCAGATGTCGAGGTCTTCATAATCCAGTCGACCACCAGAAGAAAGAGGAAGGGAGAGAGTAAACAGCCTTGTCTGACTCCAGTCCTTACTTGGAATGCATCTGTCAGCTGTCCTCCATGCACTACTTTGCACTGTAGTCCGTCGTATGAGTTCCGGATAATGTTGACAATCTTCTCAGGAACTCCGTAGTGTCGAAGAAGTTTCCATAATGTCCTCCTATCTACACTGTCGAATGCCTTTTCATAATCAATGAAGTTGATGTATAGTGATGAGTTCCACTCAACTGATTGTTCGACGATGATCCGTAGTGTTGCAATTTGGTCTGTGCACGACCGATCCTTACGGAATCCAGCTTGTTGATCTCGAAGTTGGGCGTCTACTGCATCCTTCATCCGGTTCAGCAACACTCTGTTGAAGACTTTCCCTGGTATTGACAGTAGTGTAATGCCTCTGTAGTTTTCACATTTGCTCAGATCTCCTTTCTTTGGAATCTTGACGAGGTGTCCTTCTTTCCAGTCCATTGGCACTTGTTCCTCCTCCCAAATCTTTTTGAATAGAAGGTATAGCATGCTTGTGGTTGCTTCGATGTCTGATTTCAGTGCTTCAGCTGGTATGTTGTCGGGTCCTGCTGCTTTCCCGTTCTTGATTTGTCTGACGGCCATTCTAATTTCTTCCGTCGTTGGTGGGTTGACATCTATAGGAAGATCTATGTGTGCTGCTTCGATGTCCGGTGGATTCATTGGAGCCGGCCTATTCAGGAGTTCCTCGAAGTATTCTACCCATCTGTTACGCTGTTGTTGAATTTCGGTGATTGGCTTGCCTTCTTTGTCTTTGACCGGCCTCTCTGGTTTACTGTATTTCCCTGCTAGTTTCTTCGTTGTATCGTAAAGCTGTTTCATATTTCCTTCTCTAGCAGCTTTTTCTGCCGTCGTTGCTAGTTCTTCCACGTATTTCTTCTTGTCGGCTCTAATGCTCCTCTTCACTTGTTTGTTTGCTTCTATGTATTCAGCTTGTGCTTGGACTTTCTCTGCTCGTGTTCGGCTGTTGTTAATTGCTGCCTTCTTGTTCTTCCTTTCTTTGATCTTGTCCAGTGTTTCTATAGAGATCCATTCCTTATGATGGTGTTTCTTTAGGCCCAGAACCTCTTGACACGTTGAAGTTAATGCTTCCTTGATGCCTTTCCAGTTGTCCTCCATAGTAGTTTCTTCTTCTTTCAGTAGATCTTGTAAGGCTTGGAACCTGTTGTTGAGAGCTATCTTGAATTCATTGAGTTTGTCAGTATCTCGAAGGAAGGCTGTATTGAACCTTTGTAGTGCTGTTTGTCCACTTGTCCAGTTCTTTTTCAGCTTCAGTTTTAAATTGGCTACAACTAGGTGGTGATCTGAAGCTACGTCAGCACCTCTCCTGGTTCTCACATCTTCCATTGTCCTTCGGAATTTTTTGTTGATGCAAATATGATCTATTTGGTTCTCTGTAGTGTGGTCCGGTGAGATCCATGTAGCCTTGTGTATACGCTTGTGTGGAAATATTGTGCCTCCTATGACCAATTTGTTGAATGCACACAAATTTGCAAATCTTTCTCCATTTTCGTTTCTTTCTCCCAGTCCATGTCGTCCCATAATATCTTCATATCCAGTGTTGTCTATTCCGACTTTGGCATTTAGATCTCCCATCAGAATAGTTAGGTCCTTTCTTCGGCATTTCTCAATGATTGACTGCAGCCGCTCGTAGAACTGATCTTTAATGTCGTCGTTGCTATCATTGGTGGGTGCATAACATTGGATAATATTCATTAAGATCCCCTCCTTCTTTGTTTTGAATGATGCTTTGATGATTCTGGATCCGTGAGACTCCCATCCTACAAGTGCATTTCGTGCTACTTTGGACAGCATAAGAGCGACTCCCTGAGTGTGTGGAGCATTTTCCTCTTCGTGACCGGAGTATAGCAGCATCTCTCCCGTAGCTAGCCTTTTCTGTCCAGCTTGGGTCCAGTGGGTTTCGCTGATTCCCAGTACTGCTAAGTTGTATCTCCTCATTTCCATTGCTATTTGACTGGTCTTCCCGGTTTCCCACATTGTTCGAACGTTCCATGTACCTATAAAAATTTTTGCTCTGGTTGTTAGAAGGGGCATCGGCCTCGTGGCTTCCGAAGGAACTCGGCTTTCACCATGAAGCGTCATAATTCTTCTAACTGAAGACCTTCTAACTCCCAGGGCAGAGTTTAAATGGTTTGAATTATTTTTTCTGGTAAGCGTTTTTTTAGCGAGTTAGTTTTCTACGGGATGGGGACGCTAACCCCATGCCCAACCCTCCTCCTTTATCCGGGCTTGGGACCGGCAGTAACCCTGTTAGAGCTACAGGCGGAGTTTTCATTGTATACTATATAAATGAATTTTTGAGATTGGTTTGTCTTTCCCATCTGATCGTTGTCTTTGTTTTTTTATTTGTCTACTTGTCTACGAATTCATCTTAAGTGGCTGAATGTTAAGCTTATTGGTAGTTTTCACTTTTATCCCCAGTGTAGGCAGTCGAACTTTTTTGTTACGTTTGTAAAGAGCTTTATTGAAGTAGGTTATGATAATTAAGATTCAAACTGCATTGAATTGTCTGCTTATTAAATTCAATTCTGTTAGTTAAGAGCCTTGACAAGATGTATATTGTTGGACTGACGGACTGACTGTCGGAAAAGAACATTTGAAGATCAGTGGATTTAGTTAACTCATGATTATTTTTACTTGTTGACATTCATCTTTTTGATTATTGAAATAATATTGCTTTTTAATGATCGTTGATTCTTTGCTTTAGCCTCTAGCCTCTATGGTTGCCAAAAAGATACGTGATATATCTGTCAGAGCTCCACGCAAACTGGTGCATATATTTCATATCCTTCAAGCACTTAACACTCGTTTTTCATCCGATCTTCCCTGCTCGTCACCAACATTTGTTGAAGAGTACTTCACGTGTCCATGCAAATGTATCAGCTGTGGTGTTAGATGTTGCTTGAGTGTTAACCACACGTCAAACAATGTCGGTCATAAAGCTGAATATGTCGGTTCCAATGGCGTTAGTGCGTCACCGTGTCGTTACGAACCATCGCTTCAGAATAAACTATACTTTTGTAAGGTAAGTAAGAAGCCATTGACTAAATAGATTTTCTGGATTCCCACAGATGTCGCTACTATGAGAGTCCTGATTTTATGCGGAAGTCATGTGGTACACGAAAATATAGTGTACTTACTGAGAATATCTGTATAGAGTATTGTCAAATGAAAGAATTGAAGTCTTTTGAATAATCCTTTTAGAATTTACTCTTTGTGCATTATGATCTTATGATATATATAAGCTATCTCACTATATATATGCACTCACACAAACAAGTTTATATTCCTATAATTTGCATATAATCTTACTTTATTACTATCAAATTCCAACACCAGTATTGTTATTTTTTTGTTCGGTAATGTAATAGTTACTCAACTTATTATTTATAAAAAAAAAACAACTTTTTCGGAATAATAAATTTCATTGCTATCATTGCCATGATAAAGTTAATTTACTTAGAATTAATTCTTTATATTATTGAAAGTTATTATTGTTGAAAAGACTTGACTGTGTAAGAAAATAAATTTTTAGTACATCAGTATTAATAAATTAGTGACTTTCATTCTCGATCTGATTAAAACTATTGGCGATGATGATTTCTTCAGTTGTTCATATCTCAATAGAATTCAGCACATATTTTTCTTAATTAATTGGGATTTATCAGCTGAACAGTCATTTTTTTGTTGGTTGTTGTTAAGAAACTCGGAGCTCCAAACATGTGTTACTTTGATTGGTTTAATTTCTTTATACTTGGTAAGTGGTCCTGTCAGTATGGAATGTGGTAATATATATGAACTAATCAGCTACCACACCATTGTAGTCCCTTTTCTTCTTTGGCTTCAGGTTCCTTCAGCCTCACTTTTAACGTCTCGATATCTTCAATGTAGCTTCACAAGCTTCTGAGTGGACTGTATGTTAGCGGGACATAGACTAGATTAAAGCATGCTCAATGCATGATTGCTTTGGTGCACGCTGATTGGCTAATTCTTATCCAATCAGCACTAGTCGATAGTTGGAGAATATTCTGGAATCTTCTTATGTAAAAACTATAAATATACTGACGTTTTTCCCTATTATGCTTCTGACTTGCTATTTGGAATATAATCTTATTCCTGTTCAACCGTGTTTTGATTTGGGGACTTGTCGAGTGAATCGGTGTCCGAGAATACTAAGCAATAGGAATAGCTGGGTCATTAACCGTAAGAAGACAAGAGTTATAACAGTGGCGACGGGGAAAAAGGAAAACAAATTCAAGATGCCTATATCAGATGACCAGCTTAACCGAATACTACAACAACAGCAAGCACAACTTGATGCACAAATGCGGTTGTTGGAGACTCTGACTCAACAGCTCAACATCCACAGCTCGAGTTCACACGCTATTTCAAGTTCGTCTTGTGATGCAGTTGCTAGCAGCATCCCAGAATTCATCTATGATCCCGAAAATGGAAATACTTTTCTCACGTGGTTCAGACGTTGGGAAGATACATTTAGAACAGAATTCTGTAATCAAGACGATGCGTGGAAGACCCGATTGTTGGTACGTAAGTTGGGAAGCAACGAACATGCACGTTTTGCTGACCATATATTGCCAAAGTTACCTCGAGAGCTCAGTTTCGAGGAGACGGTATTTCAGTTGTCAGAGATATTCGGCGAGTCATCCTCGTTGTTTAGTATTCGATATCGGTGTCTAAATTTGGTGAAACGCGAAGCTGATGAATATGGTGTTCTAGCAGACATTGTCAACAGAGAATGTGAACGTTTCAAGTTACGCTCGTTGACTGATGACCAATTTAAATGCTTAATATTCATCAAAGCTCTTCAGTCACCACAAGATGCTGAGATCAGGACTAGACTTTTAGCTCGACTGGATCAAGACCCAAACGTCACACTCAGAACATTGACAGATGAGTGTAAGCGTCTACAAAGCATCAGACACGACAACGAGTTGATTGAACAGGTAAATCCTAATTTAACCTGCGGTAGTGTAAATACTATTACTAGGTTAAAAGTTCAGAAGCCGGTAACAACTCGTAACAAACCAAGGACTGCATGCTGGTTATGCGGTGATTGGCATTATGCACGATTCTGTCCGTTCAAGAAGCATAAATGTCAGGCGTGCAACAAACGTGGACATAAAGAAGGTCATTGTCCACCGAAGCGTACGTCTCAGCCTAAGAAGAAGCATAAACGTCCTCGACATGTGAAATCAGCTGAGTCGAAATCTCTTTCTCTGGTAGCTGCCTTTCAAACAAACTATGACATTCGGAGAAAGTATGTTACCATCCAGATAAACGGCATATCAGCTCGTCTTCAAATTGACACGGCATCAGATATCACGTTAGTGTCTAGAGAAACGTATAACTTGCTGGGTAAACCGCCAATGAAGCCATCTAAGAAAACGGCTAAAAACGCATCAGGTGGTGTGCTAAAACTGGTTGGTGAATTACAGTGTGAATTTTCCTTCAATGGAACTAACTGTACAGGAATATGTTACCTAACAGAACGGCCGAACCTTGATCTTCTTGGTCTAGATATGTTAGACAAACTTGGAATAATGGATGTACCAATTAACAGTGTCTGTAACGTATCGTGTTCATCATTGGACACCCCAGTACTTCCAAAGAAGACAGGTGAAAGGTTACTAGGAAAACTGAAAAGAAAGATACGAACACATTCCGATGTCATCCGTCCTACGCCAGCTATTGAACCCCAACGAAACCTATCGATGGAGAATCAGTTTAACCGACATCATGGGGCACAAAGACGATTGTTCACGGTGGGACAAAAAGTGCTTGCTATGGACTATCGTGGGAAACATCCTACATGGACAGCTGGTCGGATCTTGAAAAAGAAGGGGAGTGTGGTTTACGAGGTGTCAGTTGGCTCGGAAGTTTGGGTACGTCATGCTAACCAATTGAAAGCAACTTCGATAGCCAGCAACAAGATTCAATATCGATTACCTCTTGATGTTCTGCTAGACACCTTTGAAATCAAAACGCCGGGAATGGACACGTCAGTTTCTGTGCAAGAAAAGAGTGATACTTCTCTATTGCCTAGACGATGGACTAATCGAAAGCACAGGCCAGTCACTCGGTTGCAGTTGGACCCTAGCACCAGATCCTACGAATCTGCTCAGAGGGGAGGTGTTAGCGGGACATAGACTAGATTAAAGCATGCTCAATGCATGATTGCTTTGGTGCACGCTGATTGGCTAATTCTTATCCAATCAGCACTAGTCGATAGTTGGAGAATATTCTGGAATCTTCTTATGTAAAAACTATAAATATACTGACGTTTTTCCCTATTATGCTTCTGACTTGCTATTTGGAATATAATCTTATTCCTGTTCAACCGTGTTTTGATTTGGGGACTTGTCGAGTGAATCGGTGTCCGAGAATACTAAGCAATAGGAATAGCTGGGTCATTAACCGTAAGAAGACAAGAGTTATAACACTGTAAATATTTATTTTTGTTTTGTTTAGGTACATAAGCGTGCAGCTATTGTTACTGCAAGGATAGCATTTTTTGGACTATTTCCATTAGTTACAATGAATTTGGGTCACTTTAATCTGTTGTTGTTGCCTTTTAAAATATTTCTAACATAATTGTTTAGCGTGTTGCGCAAAGTATGTATAAATCATTACCTTTGTGTAAATATTAAATATTTTGTTGTATTCAATGAGTTTTTCTTGATATGAAAATCCAATTTTATATTTTTATTATTTCGTTTAAGCTATGTTATGCCTATGGTCAAAAAACAATGATGGTTCCTAAGAGTGGTGAGTCAAATACCAATGCTTTGTCAGCTGTTGTAAAATATCTTTGGGCTGGCTATGTTTTAGAATGCCCAAGGCATGGCACCATCTATCGTAGTCGTGGTTACTGGTCTGGTAACGTAGAGCCAGAAATGAATCCTCAAGTACATTGGGAAATCGTACATGTTTGGCAAGGAGAAAAGTCAATACTCTCGGTAAACTATTTTTCTCAACTCAATATATGTAGTACAAATAGTTAATGTAATTTGAAGGAGAAAATATCGTGTACTAGTTTGGTGATGTTTCTTGAACTATGATATCAAACGGATAAATAAGTACTAGAGAGACAATATACTGAACGACAACTATACATATTGTTAAAAAACATTGACTTACGTGTTATAACAGACATATTATCATGGTTATTATATAATTATTGTCGAATGTATCATTGTGGTAAAGCTTATCATCTAATCATTTGTGAACTAAGGAGTCAGACTGAAACGTTAACCATCATTCGATTATATGAGCTGTCAAGTAATATTATTATTCTTCATTTGCTAGGAATGATTCGAGGTAGTACACTAACGTACATGTGGTTTTTGAGTTACGTCGACCTAATAAATTAAGTTTCATGCAGTTTTTTGTTCGGGATTTATTTACTTAACTTGATTACAATTTTAATGGTCTATCTGGAAATATCGGTACTTGTTTCGAATTTACCAAAAACAGCTACGCTTTACATTTAGGGTTAATTAGCAAATAAACTGATTTATTTGGACGTCATTTTCAGTTGGGATTTCATAGTATCCAACACAACATTCTTCTATTCTAGTGATTTTATTTAAATAATAAGTATTGAATTATAAGCAGAGTTTGATGGTGTCTAGTAGTGAAATTCAGGACGCGCTTTCCGTCATATTTGAGACTCTTCGGCTGTGTGCATGTATCTCAGGGTTAATCTTCACTCCGGGACTCGGATCCAGTGTCGTTCGTTTCTAACGCTATCGCGTTATTCACTTAGCTACTGAGTCCAGATCGACACTGACTTGTTCGATGGAATGAAATTTAATTCATTGTGTTGGTTGTCTGAATCTTCCTATTGTTTATAATGCTTGATAAGATCAAGGTAATTCTCACATAATGCCCATATGCCAAAAGAACCTGGTCAGTGAAAAGATTCAAATAACCAATACGGATGAATTATGTATCTAACTGTCGGGGAACATTTAGAATGTCAACAAATTATTTGTTTACCGACCCATTGATATTTTAATATGCATTAGTGAATTATGTGTTATCGTTTTCATTATCATTTAAATTTTATTCTCGTTTGCTAGTAGAAGACCAAATAATATATGTGATGCTCAAAATTCACGGTTTTTGAATCAAATTAGTTTATTTCATCTGAACTTTCTTCAAAATGTGCTTTGCAAGAATACTCTTTATCTAGGGTATTAGTTTTCATAAAATTGTAGTTTATAAAAAAGGACTTTTATTATTAGTGTTTGCAATTATCATTTGTTTGTACATGTATAAGTAATTTAGTTTTTGTTAAGTTCAGAAACGTTTTCTTAATTCCATCAGAGTACAAATATCTTATATGTATTTGTTTCAAGTGATGTCAGTAATCATTTTTTTTCTAACGTGAATCATATTATTTCTAAGTTATGTTCATAATACCACCTTTACTCTTGTTATTTTAATAATTATTTGATCTTTTTTGTTTACCGAAATCCAGGGTACTCATCCAGTTAGTCAGTTATTGTTAGATGGATTAACTGTCGTTTCTAGTCAAGTAAGTCAGTTGGCTGGTCCTCCAGCACGTCGTTTGGGAGATCTTATTGCTGACAGCGTGGCTCCTCGGTATTGGCAACCTAATTCCAGTATTAAAGCTTGTGCTGTTTGTAAGGTTGAATTTCAAAGTTCATCAGATGATTCTGTTTGCAGCCGTAATTCACTTGTTAGACAAAAATCTGCTACCGATAAAAAGCAACCAACACCATCTGTTGTTGATGATAGTTCTCAGAAAGATAAGATGTTTACTGGCAAAGATAATTCAATGCTTAATCGGTCGTCATCGTTTTCAGATTCGCTAAATAAAGAGAAAAGTTCTACTAAACCATTAAAACCTTTTATTGATGACTTATCAAAACATCATTGTCGAGCTTGTGGTAGAGGTGTATGTGCCAAGTGTTCAACTGGCCGTTTACCTGTTCCGGATCAAGGATATGGAAGTGATGGTGTACGTGTTTGTGACCAGTAAGTATTCGTTTTTCATATGACGTTGAGTAACACTGCATAAAAGCGTGCATGATCAATAATCTTTCAGTTATCTAGTTTCTACCTAAAAACAGATTGTATTCATGTAATCCTTATATCTTAACTCTGTGCACTGGTTTTTAAAACTTTTCGTTGTCCTAATATCAGATGTAGCGACCTTCTACATAGACTTTTCTGACCTTAAAATTCAAGGACATTCAGTTTAAAGTATATTGTTTCTTATAAATGTGTTTAAGTTGGATATCATTTCACACGGAGAAACATTTTGATCAAATTTTTAATAATATTTGATTATATCACTAGGAATCTAGTTTTTAAATACTGTAACTAATTCTGTTTTGCATTGTACGGTAACGACTTCCAAACTCTGCGTTCGTTAATTTTGTCTTGGTGAGTTCTATCACTCGACGTCACACTAAAAATATGATTCATTAATAGATAGACAAGTGGATACCTGGTCATTGATTCAATCTTACATTGGATTGAGCCAAATGAAAAAATTTGCTTCACTGTTAGATGTTTGAAGGTTTACGATCCTGATAGCACATATTTTTTCCGTAAACTCAGTTTTTAATAAGTCAATTACCATGTGTAATGTTATTGTTAGTTACGGCTTCTTGTCATCGTAATAGAATCACTTAATATGTTAATCTTTATGTTGTACAGATTCTATCGGATCACATTGGAATTTCTGTGTATATTACATCTCGAAAACACATCTTACATATGATTGTGTATCTGAATGTTCTTTTTTGCCGTGATAATGTTTAAGGGATACATACAGTCACGAAAATAAAATCCTTAGGTTTTGATGCAAGACAGGCTGTAAGTATCAACACTACTGGAAGTCGACGAACGTATGTATAAGTTCGGAAACTTTATTTGTTTATCTGACAAATATCATTTTATTTTTAAGTGTTATATTGTATTTAACCGTATATTAGCATTCGACTGTGCTGGATATCAGTTAGTTCTCTGCTTCTCTGTGATCTAAAATGATGTAAAAGATATGTGAAAATTTTAGGCATTTTATTCAAGATATTTTCTCAGCAGTGTGCATGTACGATTCAACTTATGTGTAACTAACACGTTCTCGGAAAGGGGCTAAGTGGGTCGACTAGATTGGGTAGCACCTACATCTACTGGAGACGGCGAATTCATTTATAAATTTTTTTAGCCCTTGTCTAATATTGACTGGGGTAAGATTAAGTTGTAGCCTGGTTAAGAATAGATGTCACTTCACAGAACCTCTAACTGTTTGGAATAGCGTAGGCGGGGAGTTTGGCTTACTTGTGTGTGGTCTTGAGGTTTATGTTTATCAATGCTTAGAGACAACGTGTGAACTATCTGTGAAACTATCACAATAGTTCAATACACTCTTCTTTTTCTCCGAATTCCCAATATTTTACTACTAATTATTCTGTCTTTCTCTTTATGTATAGTCTACTTTACGATCTGGGTTGCGTTTCTATTTTTATTGTTATGTGTAGCTTCTTGATATTTTTTTGAGGTGTTTGTGTTAGTATTTTCGTTTATCTTTTTGTGTAACTTAAAACTTCATCTAAATAACTTAACTACCTCACTTAAAAATGATGTATAACTCTTGTGTTGTTTGTTGATTTTCTCTAAACTAGTGACAGGCAGAACGATTTTCGTCACAATATCATAAATCTGTTGTGAAACAATGACAAATGTAACTTGTAGATGAGTTCATTTGCTGAAATACAATTTTTGTTTCGTTTGAAATTCTGAATTTCTTATGGATTAGGCTTTTGTTTTCAATTACTCAATGTATAGAAATGTTAATCATCGCGGATGGTTATAGTATCATGTCTTTTCTTTCGCATGTAACTTCCATTTCAAAGAATTCAAATATTTATATCCTATTTAACTAGTTACTTAAATGAATTCATTAATCTTTTACTACGTTTGTTCAGGTGCTATGATGCTCGATTACAAGATAAAGGTATCGATTCAAAAACTCGTGTATCTGGAATGAATTATAATCCTCAAATCAATAACAATTCTTTAACTGGTCGTAAGGTAATTGAAATGTTGTCTGCTACAGCTGATTACATAGCACCAATATATACTGGACCTAAAGGTATTCTGTACATATTGTTATTACTTTCCATTGTAATTTGAAATGAATCCAATTAATATTGAGTTATTTTGACACATGTCTAACCGGATTTTTGTGAGTAAAAACACGGAACATTCAGTTTGCTTAGTGTAATGCATGTGTACAATACTGACGTCATATGACTAACTGTATTATTATGGAGTAAAAAGTACACATATTTGACAAACGATCCTATAATTTTGGTCCTTATTAAGAGAATATTCCCATTTCTTCATGTTATTTGTTGTTAGGGGGAGGCAGACATTTATATGAACTCTGCATCATATATGATGGACTGTTTTTGTGTGTGCTGACACTCAACTTTTTAACTTAACTAGAAAGTAGTATTTTGTCTTGGTTATTTGTGAGAATTTAATTAATTGTTTTTCATACATAAATAAAATATTAGTCCAAGTACGGGTGATATTCTCCATAATGTAATCTACTTTCTAATTATTTCGAGATGTAGCTTATAGGTCTATTTACACGTCATCAAATGGTGCCATACACATTTTATCATAATGAAGATATAGTATATTGAAGTTCATTGAATGTATGATCACAATTTGATGAAATTTTGAAATTGACTGTATCAATCTCCGACACTGAACTTGAAAAATCAAAGATTACTCCATAACCCAAGTATAGTATACTATTCGGGTATGAGGTACACTCTCTATATCCTTAGGTTTAGTGAAGCGAATTCTGATTTGCAACCGGTTGATTTTGATCAATAATACAATCATCCATTTATAAACTTTTTCTGAAATTCCACTTAGGTTATTGACTGGGATGTTATAATATATTTCATCCAACAGTATTTGATAATTTACGACTACAGCTACATATATCCCCCATTATTCGAAAATGATACTGAGATATTCTTATGAATAGAAAATCTTAAATAATTGTACATTATAAGTGATGAATTTTATGCTTGTGTTGTGTACAACGATTACATTGTTATTGGTGTATATTTTAACAAAGCATGTGGCTCATTAACGTGGACTTGACATATTAGACCCCTATGTAAACGATATTTGCATATGTGACTGTATACTATTTCCTTTATGGACGAATGAATTCAATGATTGGCATTGAAAAATTTTTCATTATAGTGAAATAAGGTACATAGTTTTGTGCAATGTGTACATGTTATTCTTCTTGGCTTGTTTCTCATCGACATTCTACTATTGTCTACTTCGGTTTGGGAACCCGGGCAGTATCACAGCCCTCACACAAATCAAATGAGATCTGTGTGGCGCATATGTATTCGGTGCCTCCTTGTACCAATATCTATGTGTTAAAATAAATCAGTAATAAAACTAATTGTCTGTTTACACAGACCTAAAAAGATATGTACATAAATTTGTCATTATATTTATCATATATTATACAGTTTTCTTCCAGTGTCACGCTCCCAATTTAGTTAATTAATTTCTGAACTTTAACAGGGTCTTTTTTTCACTTATTTCTCTACACAGAGCTCGTTAAATCTCTTGCTCGACCAGATTATTGGCAGCCTGATGATCAATGTGTCTCATGCAACGTATGTTCCGCTCCATTTGGTTCGCGTTTAAGTATTCATCATTGTCGTTCTTGCGGTCAGGGTGTTTGTGGATTTTGTTCACGGCATTATCAACCTGTACCTAAAAGAGGTCTTGATTTCCCTTCGCGTGTATGCGATCGCTGTTACCAGCCAAACATAAAGAATTATGAATCTTCTCATCGTCCAACTGTATCTGAACACCGAAGCTCGGATTTGGCTAGTAACGTACCAAATCAGCAAATGCAACACCAGAAGCGTAACACTCAAGGGATTCAATACAACAATCTTAATTTAAACACTGCCCATAAAAGGAATTCCCAGGATTGATTTTACATGTTTCAACTTTGAGGTGTAGTTTATGAATGAGTTTATTTTTTTAACTCTTTAATATTCAGAAAACATTGACGAACAAACACTGGATTCTTACTGCGATAATATTAATGAATTTTACAGGTGACAAGAGGAATATTACCATGTTACGTAATAATATGTAAATGGTCAGTACTATCATTATTATTCCTATTTTATTTGTTACTACTATCACAGTAGTAGTGCTAACAAAAAGTAACTCAGATTTGTAATTTAATTTTTATTATTTAGCATAAAATGTCAACTTTGATATATCGATGACTATTTATTTCTTTGTTTTATCATTTTCCTCTATAATGCCTATTTATTATCTTTGTTGCTTTGTTCGTGTATGTGTATGTATGTATATGTGCCGTATACATACCATTCTTACTACTTTTGTGAATCAGCTTTGGATACTGCTACTTTGAACACTTTCTTCAACTTATTAGATGGGATATTTACTAAAAAGGAGATTTATTTTTTACATAATTCTGGTTATTTTTCCGTAATTCACGATTCTTTGTATGGAAGTCTGTGTATTTTCATTACTGAATAGAAATATGAAGATTTATGTTATCCAGTAATATACTCTGATTTGAATTACATACATTTCGATCGATGATATAAAATAGATCATTCATAAGAGCTAGTTGGATCTAACTAATTCACTTGCCGTGACGTTTAATACTTTTATTTTTACTAAATGTTATTTCCAAAAAAAAAACAGTTGTATCCTTACTTAACATGTTTTCATAATGCATAATGCTCTTTATCATTCAGTTATTTCTCAATTTTTCAGTCATTATTATTATTATTATCGCTGTTGCTAATATCATAGTCATCTCCATAACAACTACAATCACTTATTTTTTTAAGTAAATATATACATTTTCTTTTTGCCAAGATATTAATCGTGCTATGTTTTGTTCGTTACTGCTTTTTGAATATTTCAATTTTCACCATTCAATATATAGCAATAGAAACACACAATGCTATATGGAATTGCATAATACCTACATTTGATATATATATATATATATATATATATATATATATATATATATATATATATATATATATATATATATATAATTGTTGTTTGAAGATTACGATTTCGTGAATACTTGGATATATTGACTTGTTGGTTAGGTCATCCCACTCTCAGCTGTTTGATCACAAGTCCGAACCCAGGTTTTTTGGATTTGCGTTGCCTCGTCTTTCACGAAAGGTGTGACAATGTTCAATACATAGGCACATATTTGGTGATTAAGTTAGAAATCACCTACTTAAATACTGGTGGACAGTTTTCTGTATCATAATTCCTGTAGAATTAGCATTATGCATTTAATGGAACTGTGTATTTATTTCGTTCTGTTTCGTGGAATCGTTCGTTGTAATTTTTAAACGACGAGTATTGCAATATTAAAATCATTATATCTGAAGTGAATTACTGGTACTGAATTGAACTTCAACCAACTCATGGTTTGGTGCAGTTTGTGTCTTTTAACTTAGTGTTGTCATAATAGTATCTTGATATGCTAGTAATTCTGGCCGCGGTTACCTTTAATTTATTGTTATTTTAGCCGGAAAATTCTCAATGCGATATTGTAATTATAAAATTACTGATCAGTGGAGTACTGTTAGCTGGTTAGAGTGACTTCTAATTTTATTCTCTTATTTAGGAATTTTAGGGTTATTGGATTAGGTCTCAAGTTTAAGAGACTGTAGACCATTCACCTCTTCTAAAATCTTTGATTTCTAACAATACATAGCATTTTGCAGATTTATGGGTTTCTAATAGATGAGATCATTAATGTTGAGTGCCGAAATCACTGACTTGTTTGTTAAACATGTGAGCATCAAAAGAAAAATATAGGTAATAATATTGCTTCGTATCTTACGGATATTCTATGGGAATTCGTAACATCACAATCCGTCTCTTGGTTGACTGTGACTTCGTAGTCGAAGTTACTAATTCCTTCATACCCTATGTTTTTGTTTTTCTGCACCTTCTTCCGTCTATATTTTTCACTGTCTGATTATTTGTACACTTCTTATTACACAGTTTTAATAAGTTTCAACGATTATTATTTTAATGTCTATTTACTCCAGTTCTGTCTTATTTCAATCTTTGGTAAGAACGTTTGTCATTCTTATCACTAACAGTACACCTGATTATTTTATTTAGCTAGGTTTGATTATAATGATTGAATCATAAGTTGCTTTGAATGGCTTCATATTTTCTGTATATCCACATAAATGTTTCTGTATACTAGTTTCAAGCAGGATGAAGGTCTCATTGATACAAGATCGTTCGCTTATATGTGTTGTTCTAATTTTTGAAATGACACATGGTTATTATCGGGAAATCTGTCATCGTATTGACATTTCTTGTGCGCTGGATTACAAAGATGCATGATAATTATTTACCAAACTGATAAATGTTTCGATTTTGCAGCTACCATTAAGTCTTATGTTATCAACTCGATATTAGTTTTTTCCCCATACAGACATTATTCCTATTTGATCAACCTTTAAATTCAAAATATTAGAGTTCCAAAAGTTCAGTGATTTGAATTAGAAACGAATACTTATTGTTACTTTGACAAACATAGATCATACATTATTTACACTAATTACTTCGTATTTCGATCCACGCGTTCTCACTTTTCAACATACATATATCTACCTTATTTTCATCATAATGTATAAACTACTACTTAAGTAATAGTAGTTAAATGGCATTTACTTATTCATTTTTATCTTCAAGGTGTTTATTTGATGCTTATTTACGTACTTGGATAAATAAATAAATATTCTAAAAATGGTTACGGAACGAATACCAACTAAGAAGGGTGATTAAGTTAATAATGAAAGGAGTGCACGGTTTAAATGCGTACGTATTTAAAGCTAAATTGTTTAAAAAGACGCGATACATAGATTGTCATAGGGATTATAAATAATGTGAAACAGCGATGGAGTACCAGTAATTCATAGTAGGGAAAGTGGGAAGTCGAATATGGTTCCAGTGCCTTTACAGAGTGATTAAAATTATCTACAACTAGAGAAAAGAAAAGAAAATCAGGGGTCACGGAATATGAATATCAAACAAATGGTTTCGATAATGTAATAAGAAGATGAAAATTATCAGAACTATGTGATATATTAGCGCAATACATTTCGAATAATCTGATCACACATATACTTGTTAAGAGCATTTATATATAAAAATAAAAGGTCAACTAGACTGGAAATAAGGTAGGAGGAGACAATGATAATACTAAGAGTAATAATAACTTGATCACTGGATAATAAGCCGATATTACCAGGGTAGGTTTACGGTAAGAACAAACTGTTTTTGAATACTTAATTTTGTGTGTGTGGTCACACAAAGGGACTAATTGCTTCAAATAAATGGTTACTAGTTAATAAAAATGCCTTTAGTCTTTATTGGTAATTGTTCTTCATCGGTTAAGTTTCCTACGTGATAACTAATTTGAGAAGTGTTACGCCACGATGACTTTTTCAAGTTAGCTAGTTGGAGACTCTCAAGCAATATTAATCAAATTATCTTCATCCTAACCGAATGTTAGCTATCATCCCTGTAGTATTTTAAAGAACCTAAAAATGTGCAATGAAGAAACATAGCTAACGAACAAGAAGTATAATTCTAACTGTTAATCACAATTCATCGTTTAAGAAAATCAAATCATATTCTCATATAGTCTTCATAAATAAACTAGTTAGACTTGTAGAAAGCCACTAAACAAAACTACTCAACAAATGAAGAGATGAAACTTGGAAGATCGAACTGTTGATCGCGTAAAACACAGAAATGAAACATGTTATGAATAGTAGCGAAATAACCTTTGAAGCTGAGAAGAATAATTACCATTGGTCTAAAAAAATATGGTTTAATTAAACATAAATAAATTAACTTGGTATTAGAAAAAAAACCCATAAAATTCTGTTAATGAAAATCTGACAAACTGTCATTTTGAAATATTGATAATAATAAATTAATTGGGTTAAATGTCTAAATATATTTTTCTAGTAGAATGATACAACATAATGTAAAGTAAATATGTGATTGTTTATATGTTTTATGAAATTTTATCATTTGTATATAGGGTTAATGAAATGAGAAAAACAACAGCAACATACATTACAGGCAAATCAAAGAACAAATGACGTTTAATTTAAATAACAAACATTGAAGAGGAAATGGAAGACGTTACAACTAACATATATTGCAACAGATACCTATATCAGATATATATATATATATATATATATATATATATATATATATATATATATATATATATATATATATATATATATATATATATATATATATATATGTTCGTAAGAGTATTGGTGGAAAAACACTAAGAAAGCATTTAGCCACCAAAGCGCCACGTAAGAGTGCACTAGCTACTGATGGTATTAAGAAACCTCATCGTTATCGTCCTGGAACAGTTACCCTGCGTGATATGTATATATAGGGCTGTATATGTTATCATCCGAAGTAAGATCCTTAATAACTTGTATATCTGTTTCCATACAAAAGCAATCACGATAATTAGGTGTAAGTTTCTTTCATAAGCTGTCATGTTGATCCATGCATTTATGTCATGTGACAAAACTTTTCAATTGGCTTACTGTTGTACTATGTCCATTATTTTTTATTTACGGTATAATTATATTAGTTTGTAGATTGATTTGAATTAACTAAAGCTTTACTTTGTCTATGTTATTCTGTCATAGTGAGTTTAATGTGAAATGCATTGATTTGTACTCCAATTATTTCAGTCTATACCTTTTTGTATCTAACACTATCTGATTGACTTTACGTCATTACATCAAGATGAATTAGTTAGTCTACTGTGTAGTATTTCCTGAGCATTTTTATATTTTTTTAAGACGGTATTACTTAATTCAGTGATTTAATACTCAATGGGATTTATCTTAATGAATGTTGTAAATTCATGTGATACGAATAATGATTCTGTCTGTAATTTAATACACTCATGTGTCGTATTACTGACTGATTCACATTAATTTAAGGACAGTCAGGTTGTATGAATTTTTATTTGATTGACGAAGTTTTTTCTGTTTGTTTTTCACATGTTGGTTTTTTAATTAAGTATGTATTGTAAGGACATAGGTTAGTCAATAGAAGAAACAAGGATCGATGTATAAGAAGCAAAGATTCTTTATAAATAACAAGGATGAAGAATTGTCCATTCATTAATTATGAAACTTGTTAGAACATAGTGTATTCGAAGAGTAATAGATTTGAAAGCGTCAAAAATTGGTAAGGTCGAACACGGGTGACCGGATAATCAAACATACGAAACTAGGGAGTTTTCGTCAACAATTTCGTTTCTTTTAATAGATGCGAAACATTTCTTGTAAATTGTTCCTTACACACATTTAAATATAGCAAAATAAGGTGAATTCAATGGATTTCTCCAGTTACACACTATTACATTCCTACTACTATTATTGTCATTATGATATTTCTCATGGAATCTTATTCGCACGTATTACAATTTTCATTTATTGATTTGGATAATCACATCACAATCTTTCATTTAGTAGTTGTGTCTTTGACTTTTATTTTCTCGATTATTCTAGTCGACTGATGATTCGTGTATTAGCTTATTTTAGATTTTATTATGAACTGCATTGCAAAAATATTACTCGTTTTGCACATTAAATCCAACAGGATTATAAGTTTGAGTAATAAACGAAGTACCAGGAACCACGAGGGAACCAACGGTCCCTGACGGATTCTATCCCGTACCACTCAGCTTCACGATTAGAGACACTACCACTGAATTATTTGGGCACGTCCAGCCTTCTGTGGGGCTGAGATGTAGTTACAATTGATTGGTCGCAATCTCATATCGACATAATGCATGCGATGTCAAATTACCTAGATCAGTGGCCATATGGCAACTACCAGGTAATCAATCAGTTGTAAATGAAATATCATATGTCGAAATTAA